ACCTTTTAGAGATTCCACACATTTGAATTTCATAGGTAGGTATGTTGTAAGCTTCTTGATTATGGAGCAGTTATAATACAGCATGAATAGGCTACCTTCTTGGGATAATCTGGACAAATGACACAGAATTTGATAATTTAAAATCACTTTATAAAACTTGTCAGGAGACTAATTCTTCTGTTGGCACATCACCTTGTTCGTGTATTCAGTACTTATGAAGGCAAATTTATAAAGATTCAAATTTGTCAAAACTTGCATTTTGCCTGTATGTGATTTTGCAGGCAGAAATATCATTAGCTCCGAAGTGAAGCTACTGGAGTAATATAAGCCAGAAAATTGGCAGTTATGCCTTCCCCTCTTTCCCACGTCTCACTGGTCACCGATTCCTACAGACTTGACATTCTTAATATCACCTTAATTTTCATCACCACTAGTGTGTACTAAGCATTTTCCTCTAAGTTGTAAACTCTCCCCAGATTTCTTTTTCTCTGCTTTGTTTTCCTAAGGTCTAGTTTCCATACACTACCAGGGAACTTTTTCGTGTGAAATTAAACCTTAAACATCTGTTCAGGTCCATCCCCATGTTCTTAAAACCAAATTCCTCAAAATGGTACACAAGGCCCTGTGAGATTTGGGACTTGGTTACCACCTACCTTCTCCCCCTTCCTCTTTTGATGTATTTATAACCCTACGTGAACTTTTCTGAATGTAGCATCTCAGACCTTTCTTTCTATTTTATTTGGCCAGAATTCATCACTCCACCCCATTTGTCTACACTTAAAAAAATGTAGTTCAGTTACTTACTGGTTGCATTTATATCAAGCATTTTAGTCTATGGGTTATAATGTGTTACCATTACTTTTATTTTTATGTTTAAATTGTTTTACATTTGGGTAGCAGGAGGAGTCTTATGTGGGCGCCTGGGTCCTCCAACATGCTATTATTTCTGACTATTCCCTTATTTCCTGGCACAAGGTATTCTAGGTTTATATTGTATTCTCCCTGCCGTAGTTCTACAATTATTTCTTTTAAGACCCTGCTTGATCTTGTTAATGATTTCTGGTTTTATTGTACTGAATTCAGAATGTTGTTTTTACTTATTTATTTAAAGATTTATTTTATTTATGTATACAGAGCTGGGGTACAGGCCAGAGGTGCACTGGTGGTGAAAGGATTCACCAGAGGCAGAGCCAGGAACAGAACAGGCAGATTGATGAAGTACACCCTGAGGGGAGCAGCGGGTGGGTCAGGAGAGGTCTGCCGCTCCATGCTGGGGATCTAACTTGCGCTGAACCGCTGAACCTGTTGGGGCTAACTTCATAGTGCAGTGTTTTAACCAGTTGCACCACCAGGGAGAGCCCTTTTTTGGGGGTGCTGTTCTTAATTATTATCTGCAATTTGAGTTAAATTATTATCTGCAATTTGAGTTACGGCTTTCAGCACTGTGGATTTTCCTTCTATGCTTATTTAATGTTCTTTGCATTACACTCTGCACACTCTGCATTGTCTGATTAGGATTTCTACCTCTGCTTTATTGTTTCCATCTTCCTGAGATACCTTTACCCTTTCTAAATTTTTTTTTTTTCATTGTATCTTGTATACACAAAATAATGTTGTCTTGGTTTTGGAGCCATGAAAATCTTTTTGTTTTAATAAGTGAGGTAGGTTCATTCTTATTAGATGCTTTTTTTGCTCTTGCAAATTTGAAATTCTTTGGTGCTTAGGAAGATTTATATTTTTGTTGTATCATTTTAACTTTATACTTGACATTTCTTTAATGCTTCAAGAAAACAGGCTACTTTTCTTATTTTACCTTTTACTGTCTGCTTTGTCCATTTTTTTTTTTTTTTGGTTGTTGAAAACATGAACATTTTAAATAACTCTGTCTAGACTCTGACAACATAATTTGTTTCAACTCTTTCTATAAAATGGAAAAAGGGAGGCAGAGAGCCCTGCTCTTTGTCAACAGCATCATTAAAATCACCACAATGCTTTAACAGTATATCCAGCCCTACCCCAAGCTAAACAATTACCTAGCTCCTCTTGTTGCTTCCAGTGGATGCTTATAGATGTGATTGCCACACAGAAACAATACTAAGCCCAGGCACGAAGTGGTAATAATAATAACTACCATATATAAAGCAAGCCCTTCATGCCAGTCCTGGATTAGACACTTTTCCCACACTACTTATTTAATTTTCCAACATCTCCATAGGATATATATTTCCCATAAAGTCATATGAGGTCAAGGAATTTCATCATGTGGTAGAGAGAGAAGTGAGCCCAGTTCTACCAAGTGTACAGGCCACAGACATTTTTTAGTGGTTTAATAATACCCGGGTATATGTCTATCCTACGGCTGAAAAAAGATTGTTGCTTTGTAAGGTTTTCAATATATCTTTTAGTTTCTCTCTATAGCCTATCTAGCACTCAGTGAGTTTATTCTGTTTTCATCTTTTCTTGTCTCATGACTCTTGTTAAAAAATAAGTGGTGATGGGCTCTCCCTGGTGGCACAACGGGTTAAAAGCACCACATTATGAAGCTCTTGGAAGCCACCACAACATCAGTTCGATCCCCGCCAAGGAGCTGACCCACATGGTGTGGCAGACCTCTCCTGACCCACCCACTGCTACCCTCAGCAGTGTATTTCAGTAGATCTGCCTGTTCTGCTCCCCACTCTGTCTCTGGTGAATCCTCTCACCCACTAATCCTCTGGCCTGTACCTCAGTTCTGTAAGCATAAATAAATAAATATTAAAAAAAAAAAATAAGGCCCTCCCTGGTGGCGCAGCGGGTTAAAGCACTGCACTAAGAAGCTTAAGCCACTTCTGCATGAGTTTGATCCCCGCCTGCCCGGGAGGAGATCCACACGGCGCGTCAGACCTCTTCTGACCCGCCCGCTGCTCCCCTCAGCAGTGTACTTTGTTGATCTGCCTGTTCTGCGCCCCACTCTGCGCCCTGGTGAATCCTCTTACCCTCCGCATCTCTGGCCTGTACCACACATCTGTATGAATAAATTTAAAAAAATCTTAAAAAAAAAGTGTTGGTGATTTTAGATTGGTCTTAGTTTTGGATGCTCTCCTGTTTTCTCTTCCACTCAGTTAATTTTTCTAGTGGTTCACTGTGGTTTGAGTATTCTTTCTGTTGTGCATTCTATTTTCTGGATATACTAAAGATATGATATAGTTTTATCATATCTTTGAACAGTTTGTATAGTATTTTTCTTATTTCAGAGGATAGTTGGGGAGCTCAACTTTAGGGAGCCATTATCAATGTCTCCTTGGAGGTCTAGTAAATCGACCGAGTGATATGCTGCTGTCCCCCTCCTGACATCTTTTGTTGTCATCCACAGCCTCTGCTGAAGGAGTACACCCAGGTGGCCATGTTTGAAATGTAAACAAGTGACCTTGTTTGTACTAAATGTCTGCTAAAAATAAATATTAGGTCACATTCAATATTGGACCTAGACTCTGCCAACTAGATTATCATTTTGAAAATTTGATTAAAGGGCATAAGGACTTAATCAGAGTGTAGGACACAGAAACTGCTAAGTGTTGTAGAATTGAGCTCAGAGTATCATGGAAATTGAAGGTATAAAGAAGCTGAGGCTAAGGTGCTGACAAAGACAAAATGGGGTGTGAAGAGCATTGCTTAGAAGGAAATGGAGGTGATATTTTTGGAGGGATGAGATAATGAGATATAAAAAGTGAGAAGAAAGACACCGATATAAATGGGGTTTCTGGTGATTTTTGCAGGCCACATGAAATAACTTCCAAGAATATTCAGTTTAACTTTCTTCATCAAAATAACTTTCTTTTTTGGAGCATTTTGGGGTGTGCCTTTCTGTTTCTTGTAAACAATTATTGCCTAAGATCAGTTAATGAGTGTCTTGCATATGGAAAGCTTTAAGGACTATTTGCTGTACTGATGTCAATACTCACATGTGGGACTACAAAAAGTGGGGACTACTCATGGAACTGACTCAGTATGATTTAATAGTACAAGATTAGTCAGCTACTTTTAAGAATTTTGGTCCTGGAAGGGACCTATGGGGGCTACCTAGTTCACATTCTCCAATATCATAGAAGAGGATTTGCCAAACATTGAAGTCCCCATTGGAATTAGAATTTTAGCTTCCTGGTGCCCATCTAGTTTCCATTTGACTACCTGTACTGGATGAAAAGTGTCCCTCACAAATTCATGTTGCTCTGACACCTCAGAATGTGACTTTATTCAGACTAACATCTCTTCATAAATAATCGAGTTAAAATGAGGTTTTACTCATGTAGGGTGGGTCTGGTCCAGTAAGACTGGGTCCTCGTGAGAAGGCAACTTGATGAATTGGCAGATTTTTCCCCTTGGCCTCTCTTCTATGATATCGGAGAACTTGAAACACATAGGGATACACGAGGAACTACATGTGATGACAGAGGCAGGGATTGTAACTGCCAGACAAAGAACACCAAGGGTTGACCAATATCACTGAACACTAGAAAGAGGTGAGGAAGGATTCTCCCTTGCAGGTTTCAGGGGTACGTGGCCTCACTCGCCTCAGGAAATGTGAGGTAGCACATTTCTGTTGTTTTGAGTCACCCTGTATGTTGTCTATTGTTATCATATCCCTAAGAAGCTGATAAGTTACCCACGCTACTTGTTTTTTCAGTATTGTTTTTTCAGTATTAACAGGTTCTTTTCTGAATATGAAAAAATTATACACAAAGTTGCATTCTTCATAACCGAAGGAAATAAGTTTCTGTGGGGTGTATCAGTCTAAACCTTTTTATTCTGCTATATTTAACTATATTTACCTTGTGTCATATAGAAGGTTACAGTAATATTTCATCCTAGGACTTTCAGAGAGTTTTATCAGTAGAAGATTTTATTTTCTTGTTTTTTTTTTTTAAGGATAATTAAAGGTCATAGGTATATGAAATATGTGTGTATTTTATGGAGTATTAAAATTATATGACTGCTTTATAATATTCTCCTCTTGTTTTTAGATTGTTGAAGCTAAAGGAGATGTTTAACTCGAAGTTTGGCTCTGTTCCCAAGTTTTATGTTCGAGCACCAGGAAGAGTGAATTTAATAGGTATTTCAAAAGTTCATTTTCTTCATCTTTTCCTCCTTTGGTAAGATCCAAATTTTTGTTAATGCACTCTTTCTTAATTTTTCTTTTCTTTCTTTCTTTTTTAAAGCTACTTTTTTTCCCCCAAAGATTTATTTATTTATTTATTCATACTGAACAAGCCAGAGGTGCAGGGGTGGTGAGAGGATTCACTAGAAACAGAGTGGGGAGCAGAATGGGCAGATCAGTGAAGTACACTACTGAGGGGAGCAGTGGACGGGTCAGGAGAGGTCTGCCGCCCCATGTGGGTCACCTCCAGGTTGGGGATCGAACTCGCACTGAAGTGGCAGTGGCCAGCTTGCAGTACTGTGTCCTAACCTTTTGCACCACCTGGGAGGGCCTCTTTCTTAATTTTTCACAGAAGAAAAGAAACAATAGAATATCTCCCTTTATCTGCCAGAGCAAGATACACATCTGTATCAGGAAGATATCTGCTTTCATCTTTTTCAATCCATATTACTAATGTTAATTAAGCCTATTTGTTTTTAAAATATATAAACTTGTGGAAATCCAGTTGTTAATACTGCTTTCATGAAAAATGAAATTTTTCCTGTGCTGCAGGTGACAATTTTATACTGTGGTAATTTTGATGGTTTTACATTTGTTCATTAGAGTAGAAGAATACTTTGCCTTTAAACTTTTGGCAACCTGAAGAATGTACAGAACTTATCAAGAGAAAATAGGGCACTGAGAAAAATAGGGCACTGAGAAAAATCCAAGAGTCAAAAGGAATATTAAAAGGAAAACTATCATGAAAAATGCAAACACACAAAAATTAGTTGGGATAATATAATGGACTCACATGTACCTAGGATTTTGCTTTCTTTTATTATCAACACAGGCAGTTCTTAGTTTATCTTGAAGTAAGTAATGGAGGATTTAAAAAATAGGATATGTTTAGCATGGCATAGTGAGGGGAGGAGTGAGAATTCGAGTGATGCTATTGGGGAGAGAGGGGTTGAAGATATTTGAGAAGGAAGTATCTGATGGAGTAGAATTTCTGAGAAGGCAAGATGGTTGGTACCCAAGGCATAAGAAGGAAGCCACTTTGACTCTTTTAACAGAAGTCAAGGAAGAAAAAGGTGCAGTTAATATAGGCAAATGTATAATTTTGCTATATAAGCTTGAGGGAGTTCTTGTGGGGGGAGAGCTGGAGGAGTTGGATGTTTAAGGAAAAGGCAAATAGCCTTATAAAGGGTTGGAGAGATAGAGAAGGCTGGAAAAACCTAAGTTCTGCGGGGTAGCTTAAAATCTGGTTACAGCTGGAAACTGTAGACTTTTAGTACTAATTTACAACCTCCTCTCCCCAGACCCTTCTGATCTAGATGCCTGTGTTAATCTGTGGGCTTTTGTTTTGGAAATTACAAGAGATTGACACTAATATAAGGAAATATCAGCACGAGAACCGGAGAGGTAATGAAACTTGGAATTTATATTGGGTAGGTTAAAAAAAGGTAGGAAGAAAATTTTAAGGAAGAGAGTGAAAAAACTGAGAATGAAAAAATAGGAAACTTGGAATAAACAAGAAAGAGAAATAATGTTATGGAGATTTTAGTCAAGAATGACATTTGGAACTAAAGGTTCACAGGTAATAGAGTTTCAATTGATAAGGTCTAGGGCCATTACTGGATTTGTCAAGATCATGGAAGGAGAGGAGAAAATGGAGAGGACATTTCCTGGAGGTCAAAGCCTTGGGATCCTGGGGCCTTGGACTGGTTTTTACTTGAGTGTTATCTAGGGTATTACAGACCTGGGATGGAGAGGGGCTGGAGCAACGTGGTTAAGGTCTGCACAGGAGCAGCATGTATAAAGAACCACAGGTGGCAGTGTCAAGAAACAGAGAATATGGAATGAACATTTCAGATTTAGGACAGGAAGAAGGCTTGGAAACAGCTGAGTGGGAAGAGGATGTCAACTATTGCTCACTACTATGAGAGGATAGGAATAAACAATGTTGGGCCTTCTTGGTTAAAGAAGGGGGTTAAGTCTCAGCAGCACTATGAAGCTATCTGCAGCAACTGCAGCAGGAATGATTCCTGACCAGGGAGGTGACCCACATGGCACAGCAGATCTCCTCTGTCTTGCCTGCTGCTCCCCTCAGCAGTGTACTTTAGTAGACCTGCCCGTTCTGCTCCCCACTCTATTTCTGGTGAATCCTGTCACCCTCTGCACCTCTGGCCTTCAACCCAGTTCTTCTATGCATAAATACAAACAAATCTTTTTTTTTTTTAAAAAGACATAAACCATGCCATCAGCGGGGAGCCATGTTTCACTTAGGGGGATAAGGGTGCAAACCAAGGATTTCCTGATTAGTAATTCCTATTTCAGTAAATTTATTTACTATTTTCTGACTTAAGAAAAGGATGGGTATTGTTTCTAATATTGTCAGTGCTTGGATGAAACAAATCTCAGTCTTTATTAAAAACATTATATTTTTTGTTAAATATTCAAAATGCAATCATCTTGTTATCTCATGTTCTAGCTCCTGCTCCTTCCTGCCCTTTACCTGAAGTGTTTCTATTAATTTTTGATAGAGGGTCCCCTTATTCTCAGAAAGCTGTCATTTGACCTTCTTAACAGAATCTGGTGTCTCCCTGGAGTTCTGCTTATTTTTAAATATGCATTTTCTACTCTATGTCTTGATTTACTATCTTTTTGAAGGAGGCTGGGGAGGAAGACAACTTTGAAAACCTCTTTTCTATCATTGCCAATCTATAAAACGACACAAATTTATTCTCTCATTTTAAGGGACACATCAACATTGGAACAAAAAATCAAAAACCTATAAGAATACATAGTCACAATTATTTTAAACTATAATTTTGCAGTTGAAATGTCTTTTATTCACTTTGTGCTTCTTACTTGGTCAGATATAAAAACTAGTCTTGGGAAATATAAATGAGCTTATTTAGCTCATTTATAGTTTTTTTTTTTTAAATTGTTATTGAGTATTTAAATCTTATGAGTAACAACCTTAGTTTTAAATGGCAATTAGAAGACAGCAATGTAATATAATAGGAGAAAACTCCTTCAGGCTATTCTTAGAGGAATTAGAATGAAAAGGAAAAGAGAATAGTTTGTTTCCTGCTTATGTTTATTATATATAAAATAGTGCAGGCTATTCTTTTCTTGCCTTCTTTTTCTTTATTTAGTTGTGTCTAACAGATTTAACCCAGCTTAATGGTGCTAATCTAATTTGGTAGAAATTTAAGTCACAAAGATAAAGCAAAGTCCTCATCTTCAGTGAGCTCATTGATTAGTAAGGACGAGAATGGTACTCACATGTTAATAGAAGAGAAAGTGTCTGGTTTCAGTGGTTCATATTTTAAAAGTTAATATAAAGAGCAACAGTGATTCACATAACTAGTCACACACACACATATTTAGAGATGATCTTTATGAGTTAGAAAGTTGAAAAAAGCTTGTGAAGATTTAAGGAAGTCTAATATACTTGTAAATTATACAAGTAGTAATATACGTGGGTTAGCAGAAGTTCCTGGCTCAGATGTTTGTCAGGGGAAAAATAAAACAAAATCACCTTTTGCCCAGGATGCTATTGTTGTCTATTATATCCTGGCTTGCCAACAGTATTTCCTGTAAGTTAGCTTACTTGAAGTACTCTGGTTTTACCTGCTAGCAATTTTTACAATTTTTTTCCCCCCCAGGAGAGCATATAGATTATTGTGGATACTCAGTTCTTCCTATGGCCGTAGAACAAGATATGTTAATAGCTGTGGAACCTGTGAAAACACACACTCTCCAGCTGGCCAATACAAACCCCATGTACCCGTGAGTATTTAGGATTGTGTGTGTGCAATGGTGTGTGTGTATTTGCATTGTACCCCCATGAACTCTTTAGAAGATATCATACCTATGATACATCTTGTAATTTTTTGAGACTTTTGCAACTGAATTCCAAAAGAATATAAGGCAGATATTTAATAATTGTTCATTTTGTTAATTTGTTCATTTATTTAAGAAACCTCTGAAGACATGCAGAATGTTCCCAGCATTCTGTTAGACACTGGGCAATATTAATTTCATCATAGGTATTTATCATCTATTGAGGTAATTAACTCCAACAAAGTCAGGTCTGGTGCCTTTCTTTTGTTTCACTATTGCACTCTGATTTCCCTGTGATAGCATCTTATCATGCTACATTATCTTGATCTGCTTACTTTACCTGTATCCCAGTAGTCTGTAAGCTATGTGACTTCTCTAGTGCTGTAACCTCACTGTCAAACACAGAATCTGAGGCATAAAGAATGTAAGTTCCTTGTACATCTGTTTCATGAAGTTAAAGATGCATTTTTTGTTGTTGTTTTTTTGATTCTCAGTTTGTTCTTTTTAAGAAATGCATTAATGCTGACTGAATTTTATAAAATACCTATTCAGTATTGAAGATCAGGCTTTTGTTTTTTTTTAAATGATGAGTTATTCTGATGGATATTCTAATGTTGAATGTCATTGCATTTCTGGGATGAACCCTATGGCTCTTTCTTGATGCTTGTTATCTAACTTCTTTTATCTGTGCAAATTTCTCCTCTATTTTTCCTAACATATTCCCCCTCTCCCTTTCTGTCTTCTCTTTTCTTTGTGCTGACTTTCATGAGGTCTATTTATTTATGTAATAAATCAGATATCCTCAAATCTTAAATCTTTCTGAGACCCCTCTTTAATACTGCGAACAAAACAGATTTCTCCACCTATCTCATATAGGAAATCACTCTCCTCCCCACTCCAGCCAATATTCCCGTTGAGCTCGCCAGAGATGATGATTTTCCTACCTGTCTGTCCATACCATTACTCTGTTTCTATAGATGATTTCATCTGTTCTTGAACTCTTGCTCACAGAGGATACCAGCAACCCTTCCTTCCAATACCCTAAACACAATGCTACTGGCTATAACAGACCTTCACTGAAAGTTTGGAGTAACATAAAAGAATTTCAGAATTGCACAGGATAGGTGATAGATTAAATCAGAAACCTAGTCAAAAATGGCAAGAGCTCTATTTAACTAGAAACAGGGCCATGCTGTTTTTGCTTACATAACTTTATCTGCTTTCGGCGACTTCTTGTTGCCTGTGAGCTGTGTATTTTAGCTCTGGAGGATGCTAAAGAGCTCTGAGCTAGAGTCACTCTATGGCACAGCTATTTCCTCTGTGGAAATAATACAAGCAAATTGCCTTTCAAGTAAAAGGAATTTTGGTAAATTGGCTTATGAGGTACCTGATGTGTGTCCTTGAGAGTCACTAAACCTCGCTGGGCATTTCTATTCTACTCTGTATGTGCTGACTATAGAAATGATGCCACCTTGACCTTTTACCTTTATATGCCTGCGAATACCTTGCACATGTAAGTAGTCATCACATATTCTCTTTGGAGATGGTGTATTCATGTTATTCAGTTAAAATAATGTATAGAAGGCCACTGCTATAAGCACATAGTAGGTATTTTGTAAATGTTATCAAATGGAGAATGTTGCTTATTTCCTCATTTCACATTTTTCTTTGCCCTATGGCTGATTTAGCAGCTTAGCTCTTTTTTTATTTTGAAATATGTTTTATTTCTGACTTACAAAGCAGTCACAAGAATAATACAAGTAATTCCCACATATCTACTGATGCCAGTTCAGAGCATCATATCAAGGTATAACACTGTGTTCCTTTAAGGGTGATGTTAATTTCCATGATTTGGGTAAGGTGATGTGTGCCAGATTTCTTTACCATCAAGTTACTGTTTTCCCCTTTGCAATGAAGTGTCTGGTGGGGAAATGTTTTGAGTATGTAAAAAACTTGGTTCTCATAAAATTTTTATTCACTAACTTCAGCATCCATTGATTTGTTCCTGAAACAATTTAAAACCCTATTTGCAGTTTGTTAAATAGTGCTATTCCCACCATTTCTTATACCTCTATTTGTTGACATTTCACTGCAGGGAAGAACTTTCATTTTCTATTTTGCAATTTGTTCATTTGTTAATTTACATGAGTATAGATTTCATGGCATCGTATTTTATCCAATGCGTGATGCCAGTTATTTGTTTCTTTGTTCTTCCTGTTTCTTAAACTGTGCAGATAGCAAATCAGAGCGATGGCAGAAAGTGTTGAAGACTTTGAATACCTCTGTCATGGCTAAAGGCATGCCATACAGCAGGCCCATAGGATAAGCTTTAAGGTGGTTTATGCCAGTTTAACAAGGGCCATTGTGAAATAAAACGTGGTGTAGATGATGCTGAAACATACTGATTCCTCTGTTTCAGGAAATAAGAAGGGCAATTGGAAGCAGATTAGCAGTTATGGTCACGACAATCTCTCTTAACTTTCAGCGTCTGGCAATGTTTGTTGTTTTTCTGTGGACTGAAGTAACATATAGTGCAAGTAAATGAAAAATGAGATTTCAGTGTCCCTGTCTTGGCACAAGATGGCAGCAGTCAGCCATCAATGTGGCAGCCGGAGCCTCCAGCCTGAACAGTGTTTTTTTGTCTTCACAGGGAATTTAGCACTGATGCTGCTGACATTCACATTGACAAAACCAAGCCTCTGTGGCATAACTATTTCCTGTGTGGATTTAAAGGAATTAAGGTAAATGGACTTGTAAGGCATCCACTAGCACTTGGGATTATGAAGTGTAATGCATCAAGATTTATTTTATTTACTCTATCCTTTTTGTTCCAAACTATTGTGTATTCTGTTTTGCTAACATATTTCAGGAGGTGATGTAGGTGTGATTGTTTCTTGTTGGTATTAAGAGGGGCAGTAGTGAGTCCTCTGAATCAGTGTGCATCAGATCAACATCTCTGGTTTTTAAATCTTTGCTCGAATTTTCTTTGGCAGGTATATTCTAATGATATTGTTTAAATTTTGTTTTAGGGATATACAGGTGTATTTGTGAGAGGATTTAGGAGTCAGGCAATCCTAGGTTTGAATCTGTGCTCCACTCAGCAGCTCTTTTAGCTTTTTACACCTCAGATTTGTTATCTCTAAAATTATGGCATTGCTATCCAGACAGAATTGCTGCAAGGGTTAAGCAGAACTTGACACATAATAGGCCTGATAACCAGTATTGTTACTACTCTTTACATGGTGTTAAAAAAAAAAATGTAATCAGATGTATTAGTATAAGTATTTCCCTAGCAACTCTGAATAATTACCTTGACCATTTCTGCTACCCTACACAAGAACAAGAAAATGAAATATCTCCCCTTTTCCTATTAATTAAAAAAGCACGAATTATTTTTGATATTTTAAGTTCCCGTATATTTCACACACGTGATTCCTGTATAGACTCTCAGATAAAGTTCAATGAGAGGTAGATTTTGCCTACAGGAGCCAAAATCCACAAACCAATCTGTGTTTTAGAAAGCTTGTGTTCCGATTGCCCGATGGTTCTGTCTGAAATGTTGTACTGAAGACTCCGTGATACATCCTCCACAGAAGTGCATCACATTTAGTTCTTATTCATGAAGGGTCTTGTACTCTTATAACAATGGTGGCTCTGGTCTTAGAGTTTCTGCATTCATTTCTTTTCTTTTTTAACTCCAGACACATGGTAATGACTTGTGGGAAAAGTTATGGGCAGGTCTTCAATCTTCAAATCATTTGGCTTGTCATGTGCATTAGTGGGAATTATAGTATTTGGAAGCATTTTCCTGGCAAATGTAATTTGATCTTCCTTCTAGCCTATGGGTAAAATGACCAAAATAGTGCATGCTGCTTTGGTTTGTTTTTGAGATTTTAGGTCTGAAGCTCCTCTTTTTGGCTTGACAACTTATTTTCAAAAGCAGATTTGCATGATGGACTTTTGACAAAAAAGAAATTTAAATGTTAGCTTGTTCAGAAAACTTCAAATTCAAATTCTAGAAAGTTCAAGAGGATAATCTGTTTACTTTAAAATGAACATGTAATTTTATCCTTTTGGGATAGAGCTAGTAGAAATTTGGCAAAACCCAATTATGTTTTTGAATCTGTTGTACATTTTAATTTAAACATTGCGTGATAAGCTTGCTAACTGATTCACATTAAGAAGCTCTGTTGATCAGTTTATGGTTAAATATATAGCATTCTGCAAAGATTTTCTTCTAAAACAAACTATCTGATGTTTCATAGGAAAGAGCATTGGCAACAGCAGTGTTTCAGTTTATAATTAGTTTATATTTCTGGAAAGGAAATTTTTAGATGACTTAAAAAGAAGTACATCCAACTGAATCTCTCTTGTGTGGTACATGTGTTTTGCTAGCTTAGGGAAAAAAGAACAAAGAAAAATGAAGGGAAAAAAAGCAGTTTTTTATTTGCAGAATTTTGTTGGTACTTTGGTTTTTCTCGCTAGTTCATTGAAGTTTCTCTCTAGAAAAATATATATGATAAAATGAATTATTATATACTATAATAGTATTTCAAACTTTGGTCTTGAACTGTTAGAGTAATTTGTAAATACAATGGTATGTTTTCCTAAGAGGAGCTGGCTTTGCTTTTATTTTGAACCCGAACTCTCAAAGACTGTGCTATGATCTCAGTTTAAGTGTCCTCATCCTAGACACTCACCAGGTAACCTAGAGCTTTCCATCCTTAAATTAGTCTGATTATTTCTTTGGACTTTCCCACTTTTAGAAATAGAATTTCCCTGCTTTTAGAGTCTGTGTTCTCATTTGTGGCTGAATTCTAATTTGGCTGTTTTGAAAGCTACCATATGGCTAAACTGTATCCATAAATGCTAATAAAAATCTGGATTTTCTCAAATAACTCACTTATGCTAAATCACAGTGGCAGGGTGTTGGCCTAGGTAGGAAGTGAAGTGGAGATGTTCTCATCCAGACATCAGACACCTGGGCCCCATTCCATTTCCCTATGTATGCTTTCTGAATATCTCAACCTGTGGGTGCTGAGGCTTTTCCATAAGTGAAACAGAACTGAGAAAGCTTGGAACACTTTTTCTTTAGGAGACCTTCTGAAGAAAGACATTCTGTTGCAAAGAAGTCACCGCCCTGTGTTGGGCTTTTGCAATAATGGAGTATTGGGATGTGTTACATTGAGTTTTAACCTGCCTTGCTAAATTACTGTGTATTTCTTGCCTCATGACTTGAGATGTTGATATAATTGTTCAAATCAGTTAATATTCAAGAAAAGGAGCATTCGAAGCAATTTTAGGAAATGGATCAGCAGCTTTTTGTTAGACAAGGTAAAAACTAATCTTCAGATTGTGGTGCCGAGTGGCCAAGAGTCATTGAGTACAATATCCTGTCTAGTCTCCACTAAGTTAAGTTGCACAAGTACTTTCTACAAATAGTATGATAAGTCTTTTGATCGATTTTTGCTTTCTGGGGAACGAAAGAGCATGCTGTACCCTTAGTAGCCAAAGTTATGAGTGCTTTTTTCCTTCTATTCTTAGGAATACTTTGGTCTTAGTAACCTGCCTGGAATGAATTGCCTGGTAGATGGAAACATCCCACCTAGCTCTGGCCTCTCCAGCTCCAGTGCTTTGGTTTGTTGTGCCGGTTTGGTGACACTCACAGTGCTGGGAATGAACCTGTCTAAGGTAACCAACTTGGAATGTTGTTAACTACACGGAAGCTCTTCTTTCTTATTTTTCCCTGTAACACCTCTACGTGATAATTTTATTATTGAACTGAGGGAGGCAAAAGATAGCCGAGAGGACACAATACACTAGTAAGTTCCTATAGCCTTGGCTTTCATCCCTATTGAACCCCCTTTCTTAAGGCATCAGCATCCAATTCTTAAAATGAGGAATTCCTTCCTTTAATCGACAGACTGTCTTATCTGACAGCAATGCACTACAGGCTGCAGTGTAATTTAGCAAGGCCTGCTTGTGATAAACACAATGCATTAGCTTTTACCCACCCGGCAGTGCACACATCTATGAATAACTGTATTAAAATAGTTTCAGGTTAAGTGCAGACATGGAATGCATGGATATCTTTTTAGATCACTTCATTCAGAAGTTCAATTTAGAACATGAATTTCTAGACTTTAGAGTTATTTGGACCTGCTTACTTTTACCCCAAGCCCCAAATTAAATATTTGACAAACAGTGGGTAGAAAGAGTAAAGACCAGGCAGTAAAGGAACTGAGTAGCATATCTGTTTATGCCAGCAGGTTAGTCATGGAGATAAACCTTTTTTTTTTTTTTTTTTTTAAGCATTTCAGTACAAAGAGGAAATGCTTATTTAAAGGAACCATAAATTCAAAAGAGGTCAGAAAGGCTCAACTTTATAAGTTTACATAAATCTTTGACTTTGCAGTTTAGAGCAAGAGTGCTCAGCTTTAATTAATACTTTGGAGCTCTGGTTCAAATAAAATTTTGTCATAGGTTCTTTTTATCTTGTGTACATATACTACTGAGTTTATAGTTGGTTTTCGGACACAGACAGAGTCAGGGAGATCAAGAGAAAGTCAACACATGCTTAGTCTTTCAGTTAGAACTTTAAACTTTTAGTTAAAAATTTTATGTATAGAAGAAAAAGTACAAAGGACAAAGCCAAGGTTAATTAGACTTTATAAGCAATGACTTACTTGGAGGGGGAAGAGTCACTAATTATTTTTTGCTTTTTGGGAAGAGAGAAAGCAAGGGAAGGGAGCCCATATAAAAATGTGCTTTCACTGGTACTACTTTTAATCTGTTGGTTTATTTCTTTATTCATTTGTTCATTATTTATTTAGTGAATAATTTGTGTCAAGGTAATGTTCAAAGGATTGGACCTATAATAGGCAAAGTTTTAACTCACAATTCTTGGGATCCAAAAGTAGAAAAAGGTCAATTAAATAGGTAACTACAGTAGGGTGTGATAAATAGATAAGCTATGGGAGCCCAGCTCACCCAGATTTAGAGTGTGTAGGACATTTGCACTGAGAAGCAAGGACTCGAAAATGTTAGTCAAGGAATACCAATGGCATGATACTGATACTATCAGATAGACATGTTTCAGGTGATGGGAGCACCACTTGGTAATATTTAGAGTAAGAGAGATCACAGCTTATGGAGGAACTAAAATGGGGCTCCCTTTGCCTGGAGTATACAGTAATTTGAATGATTGGGCAGGAGACCAGATGCTGGGATTTGTAAATCACATTGAGGAATGTATTCCTACAGCAGAGTAAAACCATTACAGGCTTTTAGGAAGAGGGTAAAGATTTATTATAAAATCTACTTTGAGGGCAATAATATTAACAGGATGGAGGCAACTTTGTCAATGGAAGTGGCAGTGAGAATGGAGAGAACTGGATAATAGATTCATAGTGTATCTCAGACAGAATCATTATGGCTCATGGTCATTGATTGGGTCATTGTAGTGGACAGTGAAGAGTAAAGGATTATACTCAGTTCTCTGCCTTGTTGTGATTCATTGGAATAAAGAATATAGCTGGAAAAAAAATAGGTCTGAGGGAAAACCGAAATGTTGATTGTGAGGAATCTGTGGAAATACTGATAGAGTGATCTAGTATCTATTTATAAATATTATCTCTGAGTGTCAGGAGGGAGATCTGATCTTGAGATCTCTATTTGCCGTATTTAACATATAATTGGTTTCTGAAGCCACGGGAGTAAAAGAGAACATCTAGTGGTGGAGAGTATATACGGGAAGATTAGGAAGTCTAGGATAGAACTTAGACAAGCATGGGATGGACAGAGAAAGAGATGTCCATAGAAGACTGAAGAGTATTCAGATAGAGCAGCATAACCAGAAAGGTAAGGCAACAGAGAAGGAAGAGAACCTTTCATAACAGGACTGGCAGTGGTGTCAGATACTCCTGAGAGGTTAACTAAGTCAGGGACTGAGAAATATTCAATAGATTCAACATTCAAGAAATTTAACAAAACTATGGCAAGAGTAGCTTAAGTTAGGAAAGGATTGAGGAGACATCTGTGAGGGGTAAGAAAGCAAGAAAGGCTAGTGGATACAAAAAAAGTCTGTCCATGTAAGGAGGTAGAGAGAATCTGATGTGAGGGTAAGGGTGAAGTCAAGGAATTTATTTCTTCTTTAATGGGAGGATTGGTAAAGCTTAATTTTTGCATTTTTCTGATCCTTTTATGGTGTAAATATCTGAGGAAAAGAGGACCAAGAAACATGAGCCTTTGGAATTAATTCTGGCCGTCTTTGTGTTTTCAAAGTGAAAAATAACAAGTGTCCTTTTACCAGTGCTCACTGACTATTGCCTAAAGGAGACAATATCTATAGTTTAGCTTTCCCTGTGGGACTAAGTTGTACTGACAATGTTTATGTTTTCAAGAGGCTGAGCATCATTATCTGGAGGTCTTTGCATAGTGAGACAGAATTTTGACTGAAAGGAAGTCCCTCATTTGATCAGTCTTCAGGTAAATGCTAGCTGTATGAATACCTTATAAAAAAAATCACAGAACAAGAGGAATCAAAGGACTTTAGAGATGAACCAGTTCAAAGTTTCTTTTTATTGATATATCACTAAGCGTGTGATAGAATGCAAATAGCCCACAAGGTTTAAGTGGAGAGTGTTTAAAAAGAGACTATTAACAGAAGTGTGGGCAGGGCCAGCGGAGCCAACTTGTGATGCCAGAAGCCATTCTATTTCAGGAATTATGCTGGTAGTGTTACCAGAGATACAGTGAGATAGGGAAAGAGTGAGCAGGAGAGGATGGCAAGGAGTGAAGATAACTGAGGAAGTTGCCCAAAAAGTAATTCTGTCTCCTGCGATACAGAAAAGTGAGAGTGGAGGGGTGTGAGGTTGAGTAATTCCTTTTCAGTTATATGTACAAATACCCCACTTGTTGGCAGACAGCTGCTGAAAATAGTTTACAATATGTATATGCAACTAGTTAATTTGTTAATAACCTAAATGTATATCTTATAACTCAGTCACTGAGAAACTCTGGAAGCCAATAATTATGAATCAGAATGGAACTAACAGAGGCGAGTATGATGTGATAAAAGTCCTATGAAATAGAAAAACCAGACTTTCTGGTGTTAAGATGTCAGAATAAAGATATGTCTAGTCTTTTTTTTTCCCTCTGTCATTCACTCACCTTATCTCAAAAACCACCTCCAAATAGGGAAAACCAGAAATGTAGGCATCAGTTTATCTTTGGTAAATTAGGGAGACATAAATAACCCTAAATCACAAGATACAAAGCGCGAAGCAGGTAGAAAGATGGTATATGACTTTGGTGAGTGGAGATAGTTCAGAGCCAAGGGCCTGAGGAAGACGGGAAGCATGTTAATGGAAAGCAAGTTGACTCACCGATTTCTGGAAACGTTCAGGATTAGAAGCATCTGGTACTGTAAAAAGCAGGGTGACATGGCGGGTGGGGATTTATGTGAAAATTTTTATGAGGAGCAGTTAGACCTTCAAGAACTCACTCTTATTTAACTAAGTAAGATCATTTCTCCTACCTTTGTAGGAGTCTCTGGAGAAATAATCAGAGATCCTCTGACCTTGAACACTGAGAATAGCAGGATGAGAATAGAATTGAAAACTGGAAGATTAAAAGATATTCTATAACTGAACAGAGAGAGGTCCTCTGCTCACCTCTAGCACTCTGGCAGCCTTGACTCTACACTCCATTTGAAATATTGGAAGATTCTTCTCAGAAGAAACTGAAGTACTTAGAGAAAAGACCTGTAGAGATTGAGATTTGGTGACCCTTCCCACAAAAATTCCCTAGTACCCTAGAACCTCTTAGAAATCCACTTAAAAAATTTCAAATCAGCTTTTTCATGAGGCTTTCTTAAATATGATAGAGAATCAAAGGATACTTATGTTGGGAAAAAACTTACAACGTGAAGTGAACACAGAAAAATGGAACTCAGAAAACAGAGAAACCTTGATCTCCTCAGAGATAAAAGAAAACATTATAGCCTGGAAAAGAGTAGAGTATTATTCTTTTCAAAAAGGCACACATAATAAGGAAAAACTTTGGGTGTTAAAATCATAATAGCTAAAACAAAAAGTTCACTAAAAGGATTTGAAGAATTGATAAAGGAGTTGGGGGTCGCGGGGGGAAGGAAGAGATGAATAGTTAGAGAACAATAGGAATCTATAAATCAAGTCCAGAAATCCAGTAGCCAATGGGGCCGCCCTGGTGGCCTAGGGGTTAAGTCTCAGGGCTATCACCAATATCCAACCAATAAGGCAAAAAGGAAGACAATCATTAGGATAATACCTTTTTATTTTAAGGGAAAAAAGCTGGATTTTCAAAAGTGAAAACATGAATTCTCAAGTTAAAAACTATGGTGAGAGAGTGGGGATCAGAACAGGCAGACTGGTGAAGTACACTGATGAAACAGCAGAGGTCTGCCGCGCCATGTGGGTCACCTCCCTGGGGAGTGGGGTTCGAACTGGTGCTGAAGTAGCCCTGGGCTAGTTTCTTAGTGCTCCAGTTGGCTACCAGAGAGGGCCATAGGAATGAAAGTTTCTTAGAAAGAACATTGAAAGGTAGAAGACAACAGAAAATGTTTTCTAAATATTAATGGATTTGCAATAACAGAATAAATTAAGGAAGAGTGAGGTTAGAATAAATAACACATTCTCAAACATGTAAAGTCA